CGACGCGGCGGTTCCGTCACGGGAGCCGCCCGGCCCAGGCCGGCCATCCAATTCCGCCGCTCCCGTCGCCGCCGCAGGTGTACGAGGATCCTGAGGCGTGGGACGAGCAGGAGTTTGAGGGGCGCATGTGGGCGGCGCTGCGGGCGCAGCTGGAGCCCGAGGAGGCGGAGGTCCTCGACCAGGTGTGGCCAGCGCTGAGGTCGCGAGGCGCCCGCTGGCTTCAGGTTTTAGCCGGGGCGCCACGAAGCTTGCAGTCGGGGATGACAAAGTGGGGGCAGGGCTTGCGGCTGACAGCTCGTGCACGGCGGGCCAGCCGGCATAGCGCCTCCACTATGGCTGCCTGTTGCCCCCTTGAAACCGCCGCTTGACAGTTTTTTGGGGAAGACTGGAGCGCCGCCGGCGAGATGGAGACCTATGAATTCGAATCGAAGCTGGCGCAGCTGTCGGACGATGACAAGCGCGCCCTGCTGTCCGTTATGGGCAAGATGGGCCAGCTCAGCAGCTTCGTAGAAGCTGCCGAGGCGACCAGCCTGGACGCGCAGGCTGACTTCCAGCAATTCATACAGGAGCAGCAGCGGGAGCAGCAGCGGGAGGAGCAGCGACGGAGCGGCGGTGAGGGTGAGGAGGACAGCGGCGACGGCGGCGGCGGCGGCGCGTGGGAGGGGGGGCCGTACCCGGGGGCGAGCCCGGCAGTCAGCCGGGTGCTAGAGGTGCTGCAGGGCGGGGAGACGATCCTGGTGGACGCTGACGAGGAGGAGGCGCGGCGGCAGCGCATGCAGGAGGAGGCTGCGGCGGCGGCCGAGAAGGAGCGGCGGCGGCGGTGGGGCCTGGCTGACGACGGCGGCGGCGGCGGCGGAGGGGAGGGCGCCGGGCGGCGCTGGGGCGAGTGGGGGCCGCGGGCAGGGGGTGCCGGCAGGGAGGAGGCGGCTGAGGACATGGACTCGCGCCTGGACAGGTGCGGCGGAGTGGTGGGCTGCCTGGCGTGTATCGGGCTCTGCACAGTAGTATTGTTTTTGGGAAGGGGGGCTCCTCCATCATGGAGGTGTGTGTTCACGGGGTGCCGCTGCCGGCAGGCGACATAGCGGCATCTGTTTTGACGTCCTCACGGCATGTTCTAACTTTCAACCCGGCCTGGCTTCACCTCGCATGCCATGTGTGTGAGCCTCTGTCCTGCTA